TACCGGCCTGAGAACGAGCGATTATAAACTGATAATGTAGAACCTTGTTATTTCGGTCTTTAATCCAGCATCCCTGAAGCTTTTTCTTCCGTTTAACTAGCTGATAGAGGTCTTCATGGGACCAGGGTGGGAAACTGTTCTTCCTCTTCATCCTGGATTCGACCAGCGGTGCATGGGGATCAAGAGCTCCTACAACAATGGAGTACCATCTGCACCACATAGCGTCGGCATCGCTAAAGTCTTTAAACTCATGAAGACCCGATCTATCGAGGTCATTACGAAGGAGATTTACGTCAATACGTTGAAGTTGCCTGCGAAGTCTCTGTACTTGGAGGGGGGGGGGGGGGGTGATGCTGCACCTCTATCAGCAGGCATGCGTCGACAGCGAAGTGACCAATAAACGTTTGTGGGTCAATGAATGCAGTGGTCACCACAGCAGGACTGGTAAGTATCAAGTCCAACACTGTGCCTGCAGGGCATCTAGGGGACACTCTGGTTGATTCTGTAACAAGGTTTTGGAGACCATAATGATCTACACGTATCTAGGAGATGATTACGCTGGGGCACCCGTATTAGCTTGGTCCATGTTTACATTTATATTACTGACAACGGTTGCAGTCCGCAGAGGCGCCTTGTGCAGTATATTTTCAAGCTTTGGCCAGTTTGACACTGGTACGTCTGGTAGTCAGTAGATACAAGCTAGAAGAAGGGTCTCTCGGCATGCTCTGACTTCGATCCAAGTAGCCTCCACACCTTCTGTAATCAGATCCTTGTGCGGGGTGACAGGAAGGTGCTGTCGATAATACATACACATCCTACCACCACAGCGCCCTACGCAGCGATTCCTTGCTATGCTGTAGCCTGGTATATAGAGCTTGGCATCTGCGACTTTGTAGTTGAGCCAAGTCTCGGCCATGCCCAGGATGTAATAACTGCGTTTCAGGAGAAGGGTAGTGATTTGGTTTATATTATGCCGAAGACTGAAAGATTTAATGAAGCCTATCTTTACAGGTTTGCCTACTTGTACGTCGGAAGGTGTGAATACAGCGACTAATGGGTTGAGCATGTTCTTGGTAGGAAGTGGGGTAAGCTGAGTGTTTGTGGTGGGGTGATCAGAGGGGAGGACTAAATATAATACTGCTAAGTAGATGATGTCTAACTATGACTGAGACGAACAAGCACATGGTGATCTTGCAGTCTAGCGATCTACTGCGTGTTACAATCCTTACCGCCAGTTGTCGCAGCTCAAGCGCTGCAGGCTCATTGGCCCACTGGACCTGTAGGGCGGGTTACTTGAGCATTGCAGGTGTTGTGCGAAATGTGTGTTTGCTGACTTCCATAACAAACTCTCCGGGTGGTGTGACAGGAGGCTGGTGACTGGTCTTTCCACGGCCTGTTGGGTGTTGGGGAGCTGTGGGTGTTGCACTTGGTGCAGGTACCTACATGAACACTTCAGATACCCCAGGATAGGGCTCGATCACCGCTCCATCTGCTGGTGCCTCTGCCTGTGTGTCCACTGCTGAGGTTTCGACTGCTTATGACGTACATAGGCACACAACTATAAGGCGGAGGCTCGTGCGGTCAAACGCTTTGGAGAAATCCAACAAGACAGCAGCACAGAGGGATCGACTATCAAGGGCACGGGTTACAGCGGACATGGCATACAGAAGTTGGTCTACTGTGCTTGGGTGTGGGCGAAAACCATATTGCTTCGGTGATAGCCAATCATTGAGAGGTGATACAGCGGTTAAAGACGGCAGTCAGCGATGGCGCTAACAGCTCGGCGGTCTCTTGCAAGATACTGTTGGAAATGCGTCCAGAGGTGGACTTGTAGATGCTGAGCTTATATAATGTGTGGGTGACTTCTACAACGGTGAGTGTTCGAATGTGGAAACGCTCCGTCAAGTTTGGCAATACCAAAGTCGAAGTAATTTGGATCTGTATGTCATTCAGCTTGAGCGTACTTGGAAAATAGCTGACAGAAAATATTGGCTTTATCCGAGTCAGTGCTTGTAGTGGTGTCGTCTACGTGGAGGTCAGAAATCATGGTTCGTGGTCTATTGATCTTGCACAGTCTCTTTTAAAACTTTGTGCCACCAGCTAAGCAACCCTCTGCTATATTGCAGCCGCTCTGTCATGTGGTCAAAGAAGTGGCACTTAGCCTTGCGGATAGCAGCAACATAGGAGGTCCAGGCGAAGTAGTATATTGTCCAGGCATCAGTGCTTAGCCACTGTGAACAACCGGTCTGTCGGAGGTGATGGTGTAGGGATGTGAACCATCGTTTGTTACCTACGAAAGTTCTCCGTTGCGTCTGTGGGATGTATAACGAAATGGCTGTGGTAACAAGTGTATGCCAGGAGGACCAGGCTTCATCAATGCTTTGTGTGGTCCGCACAGAGTTGAGCAGAGGGAGGTCCAGAATGTGGTCCGCACTCTGTGGCTGCGTAGTTGTTCAGACATAAGTCTTGTTGCACGGGGATGTTTCGTATCCATTCGAATACAGAAGTCTATAATGGCGGGGCAGTGGTCAGGGACGGGAGGGAGTGTCGTGAGGTTGCCGGCGAGGAAAGTTTGTTGCAGGGGACAAGGTCCAAAACTAACGAGCTCTGGCCGGAGACCGAAAATCACTTTGGGTGGTCGACCACTAGTTGTGTGTAACCTATATCGTCCAGGAGGTCAGTTAAACACCGCCCAGCCGGGGTAGTTGTCACTTGTGCACCAATCACTATGGCGAGCGTTGAAGTCTCCAAGTACCACAACTGGAGCAGCAGTGTCTGCGATTGACGAAATGGACTCCCGCAGGGTTTCCTTTTACTACCTCCGACAATCGAAACTTGGCGCGTTTTTTGATTTTTTTGTTTTGGTACCAAAACTACTTCACAAGGCTGTGAGGTACGACCTACTTGTAGCTCCATGCAACCGAGTGCAGGAAGCCAAGCAACGACCTAGTGAGTGGCACATGGCTCAAACTTAGTCAGAGGCATGCGTGTCTCTCGTGTACCAGCAAAACTGTGCGCGCGTCCATTCTGCGAAGGAGAATCATCGTGCTGTCGCGTTTCAATGCAAAACCAAGGAGTTCTCTCTCTCTCCTCTTGGTCACTCCGCCAGCACCGAGTCCATGCGTCCATGCCAAACAATCCTAGTGCCTTTCAACAGCCACCAGAGCGATGCGTCTCTGGTGGCTAATGAAAATCGCCAAGAATTGCTGCAGGCAATTTGGACAGTTGGCGAGAATACCCTGCAAAACAGTGGACTCCAGGCGCTTGCGGAGGTGTTGCACAGTTCTTACCACTTCAATCTGGATAGTGGCGGCGGAAACGACTACCCTCGACACCGTGGCTCGAGCACTGCACACAGGAGCGACATCGAGATTTTCAGAGCGATTACAACAGAGGTACTTGCTGCAACTGAATCCGCTCTAGTCGCACTTTTGTCTCAAAACAGGGACAATTCCTCTCCAGAAGAAACTGCGATCTCTATATCAGGGGAGAGTTGTTCAGCGTAACAGATGTCCCTACTGTCCTTGTTGAGCAATACAAAGTTGAATTTTGGTGAGTCAATCATTAGTTTTGATTGTAAAGTGTGAGTTATTTCGAGTAATTTGAAGTAAGAAAACGCGCCAAGTTTCGCTTGTCGGAGGTAGTAGTTGAATACATAACATCAAGGGTGGGATCGAGTGGTTCAAGATCTGGGCGTCTAATATAGGAAACACCAGGATGGATGAGGAAGGCAACTCCACCACCTCTTTGGCAACTTGGGTTACAGGTGTGCCGGCAGTGGCAGCGGACAGGCCACGAATCGCTCTCAGGAAGTCGTTGATAGTAACGCCAATCTCAGGTTGCTGTGACCATTGATCCTTATGCTGCAGTGCTTCCAGGGGGGGAGGGGGGGGGGGGGGGTGTTACTGTCAATATTGCACGATTCTTGGAGTTGGAGAAACTGTTATGGAGTTGGAGAAACTGTTATGCAGTTTCAAACTCAGACTTGCATAATGAATTGCTAATGCCATGTGGACTCTCATTACACAAGCATTACCGCTTTGTGTTTTAGTATGAGCAGATTGGCCATGGACGCGTTTACGCGTTCTGTCTACGCTGTAGAATGTACACTGTACAGTATCTACTTATCGCGGGCTATAGACGAGTGTACAAACTATCGTAACTCCGTCAAAATGCACTGGATATCTAAAGTTGAGACACTGCTGGAAGGTTTCTGAACTCAGCTTTCCAAGGGTAAAAAGTTCTTCGCGATACAATGTATGACCGAGCGACGACAAATTGAACAGCCAGAATGCGAAAATTTCAGTTTTTGGCAATCGATACAAATATGTTGTTCGCGACTTCATGCGGGCTAGGGAATTTCCCCTAGAGACAGCGCCTGGGCAGTGAGCTTCAAAAAAAACCAATCTTGAATCTCAGCTTTCCAAAGCAGTTTGAACCGTGAAAATCCGTTCACTATGAGCAGGAAAACGAAAGAAAAAATGAGAGGCAGTCGCTTTGTTATGTTTAGGCATGGTAGAGGGAAATGTAGAGGATATGGAAGTACCAGCCCTGGTATGCTTACGACGTACTGGCAGACGACGTACTGGCAGACGTCGTTTTATGCAGGTGCATTCACCCAGGCACGTAACCGCTTTTCGTACAGCTGTGCACACAGCTTCGTTTGGACACAACCTGCTGAGAACGACAGACCAAAACTCGGTACAGGGTCTGGATACGTCGTCTACGTTTTCGTATCAGGGGTACGACTTTCAACCATGTTCCATGTTGTCATGGCGATCTGGACGAACACGTCGCGTACGCCACGTTTTGGGTGTAGTGTGAATGGTCCATTAGAGGTGTTCTGGGCAAAACTGTCATATTGAGTGAGATTCACCTGAAAGTGTTTGGCTCTGATATCCCAATGTTTACAGATTCTAAAACGTAATTTTTTTTATCTAGTTTACAGATTCTAAAACGTAAGTTTTGTATCTAGTTTGCAATGCAGTGCTTCTACTTACGTTCGCACGTATAGTTGAACGTCAAACCAACACATGTGTGATTATCAGGGCACAATGTTATCGATCCAAGTGAGACTTCACAGCCACTTAGACAAAGTGATTCGCTCAGATCTGCAAAAAAAGAATCAGACATACAAGTAGCCTTATTATACCAGTGGGTACACAAAGGTTTGCTCAACCTCGCCAAACAATGCATCATTGTACGTTTGAAGCCAGCGAGAAAAAGATGACTATGTCCACAAAATCAATGTCTGTGCCTGCAAATATGTTGTGTGAGTGACCTTATGTGTTAGTTTTGACATCAAATCATGTGGTTCTGTGCCCATTATGTTGCTCAGAACTTCAAATTCTGTTTGAATTCATTATTCTCACGATGGCACCATTGCCAATAAGAGTGTTGGTTGAACGATCGCGTGACAGCCTGACATTTTCACATTTTCCTTTTCAAAGTTTTCTACTATTCAGTTCAAAAAATTTCATGCTGTTGTATTCGACTTTCTTCACCTTCTCCCAGCCCCGTGCCATCTCCACATTCAGACAATGTACGACGAGACAACTACACTCAAAGACTATATTTGTAATAAGACGACGGGAACACAACTACAGTCCATTCATCGGAAACTGTCCCGCTGGCTTCCAAAAGTCCGATTTGGGCTGACTTGAGGATCAAAACCCACTTTAAATCTCAAAAATATGGGTTTGGGTTCTGCTTCTCCATACATTTTGCCATGGCATACCTGTCCTAATTTTGTAAAACCTGGCTGAATTTCTATTTCCCTGTTCTTGGACTTTTCTGCAATCAGATGTGGCAAGGGGTAATTGAACGGGTCACACAATGCAGGATGTACTGTTATCTACAACTATGTGAGGGAGCCACCAAAAAGATAGGGTGCCAGTCAGGCACAATCTTCCTCAGCCTACTCAGGGGGTGAATTCCCCGAAACACTGTGTATTGAGCAGAGAGTGGTGCCTTCTTGCAGGTTTGCCGAGTCGAAGATGCGATGGACTTCTCGTATGCTCTGGATGGCAGTCATGAGTCAGACAAGTGTCAAGTAAAGTCAGCGGAATAGCACGAGCTCCAGTGTGGGAGCAAACTCATTCCTAAAAAAATCATTGCTGAAGTCGCAATCACTATATAGAAATTTTCGTAATAATAATAAAAATAATAATGTAAATAGGCGTCCAGGCGACAATAGTTTTAGAATTGCGATCAACAGAACGAGCTGAACCGACATTTCACAAAGGCTTTTATTGTATTCAAAAAACGAGTGGATACGAAGGCAGTGAAGAACATGGAAGAAAGAAAAAATGTGATATGGAGAAAATGATGAACAAAAAATCGTACTTCGAACTAGTCGTTCGAAGTACGATTTTTTGTTTATCATTTTCTCCATATCACATTTTTTCTTTCACAAACTCAAACGTGTCTTTAGCACAATGTGTCCTGTACAAGGCAAGAACCGGTTGCAGCAAATTGCATTACCATTTCGAAACCTTGTACTGCGGAGATCCAGACATGCTTAAGATCGGGCGTAATGGAATCTGATTTTTTATGCATTTTTGCGAGCCCATACATTCTAGGCCTTGCCGATCCGATGGGAGCTAGAGGATCATATTCATACTTGGTGATCTGATGCGTTCTAGAAAGAAACGCAAGTACGTGCTCAGCTTGGTATCAATGTTTTCGGTATGGTCATACACATTGCAAGGCCCAAGTCTACTGAGTTTACTAATGTCATTGAGAATGACCAACATTTTCTCCCGGTAATTATCCGCAGACAAGATGACCGTTGCACGGCCTTTGTCCGGTCGAGAGATAACGATTTCTGGATTCTTTCGAAGCTCATTGATCACTTTCATGTGTTCTCGTGAGTGATCTAGTGTCCTGAGGCGATTGTGCGAACCGAAAGCACATAGGATATGTTCCCCTCATCTGCTGGACGAGGAACTAGAACGACTCTTAACGATAATGACAAAGATTGGCTATCCAAAGACATTTTTAATGAAACTCATCAACCAGAAACCGACCATGGAAAAAACGATCACTTTTGGACTGGAGAGATGTCCTGTGGTACTACGTTTGCCATGGGTTGGTGCCGGTTCTTCGCGCGTCGAAAATGAGGTGCAGAATATTGTTTGTTCCTCTTATCCGTGTGTAAAATTGTATGTCATCTTTGGAGCGACCTGTGCGTTCAGCGTGAAGAAGGACGTTCTACCTACCCTAAGCAAAAGTAATTTAATATATTTGTTTCAGTGCCGAAATTGTGAAAATCGGTACGTAGGTGGAACCTTTCAGCACGTAGGCACACGGATTCATCAACATGTACATGTAGGTAGACCACGGAAGCAGGACAGACTGGACGTGGAGCAGCACACTGATGTCGACCGAGGCAATCGGAACTGCATGGACGCAGGGCATAGTGGGAGAGACTGGCAAGTGGCAGTATCGGAGGTGACAACGGCAATCAAGTGTCACCTGTCGGGCAGTGCTAGTTGTCGTGAATGGTATTCCGATGATGTATTCTCTGTTTTGTCGCGTGGTAGGTCTTTGTTACATCTTACCGTGTTGGAAGCTTTGTACATAAGTAAGTTAGACCCTGAGCTTTGTGTTCAGAAGGAGAATGTGTTGTCTTTGCAGTTGTTTGGCACTGTTCGTCGTGAAGGTGCGAAATAGATCCCTTGACCTCTTGATTTTTTCTTGTCACTACGTTTTTGTCACTTATTGGATTTGCATGCTGTTTTCTTGACTCTTCACAGCTTTTTTTCTTTCTTTTTTTCGTGTCACTTCTCCGCATAAGTGGAGTGATGTATCTCTGAACTTCTTTTTCTTATAGTTGTAGTCTCTTAGCTTATTTCCATCATTTCCTGTAGTATTTTGAGAAGAAGCGAACGAAAACGTTCAATACCTTTGACACATATCCTAATTGGCTGGTGGTGATTCTTGTGTAGATGCATGCGTAGACTATACATTTTTTGTAATACTTCGAAGAAATAATAATTATTATGGACTCAGATGGAGAGCCAAGGTTTAATTTATACAAAACAGAAAGACCAAGGAACTATAAGTTATGCTATACTGTCCACTAACACCACCAGTTACTAAACAATCTGCGTAGATCAGCGTATAGCATAATTTGTAGTTCCTTGGTCTTTTTTTGTATAAATTAAGCTTTGGCTCTCTATCTGAGTCCATTCCTGCACACCTGATGAGCTGTCTTTATCTATACGGCGAAACGACCATCGGGTGAAACATCTGCTTGTTACCACTGCTTATTGTCCATCTAAATTGTCATAGTCGAAGTACAGTGCTCTTTTACTGAGGCGATCGGTTTTTCATGATTCTTGTTTGCATAGCTTGCCAGTATCGTCATCGACATGCATGAACATCCGCCAACGTCCTTCAAAGCTGAGCCTTTCAGCTCGTGCTTATCTTGGTTGCGCTCACCTTCCCCTCCTTGTGTTATTTCAGCCTTCCAAGTTGGAAGGCTGTTGGAGTGCACATCCAAGATGTGCTAGAGCTGTTAGCCAGTTAGTTGTAGAACGTTAGTATCGTCGGTCAGTGTCGTGCAATGTTATCGCATGAGCTGATTGTTTAGTAACTGGTGGTGCTTTGCGAGAACGAATTGTACAAGCCGAAAACTAAACTTGTTCCGTTGGGACTGTAGCTTGTGCTCGTTTTCGTTGCGCTTGCCTTCCCCTCTTTGGTCTTTCCATAACCTTGAACTTTCCATGTTGGAAGGCTGTCGGTTAGCGCTACGGAGATGTGTTGAAGCTAGGTGTCAGGACGTCGAATGTCTCAGTACTCTGTCAGTTTTGTGCCTAGTTGTTGCACTTTCTGACTGTATATAGTATCTAGTTACAGTGGTGGAGAGTTACTCTTAACTCGTTTCCATATGTCCTTTTCCTTACTACTTTTATTATTGGCTCAATACCCGAGTTTCAAAGTATATAAGTTTTAGTCTTTCCAACTTGAGCCATTCCAAGTATAATCCTTGATGAGAAGGGACCGAAAACGTTCGGATACTTATGACAGATGCTTTATTATGACTGGATGTGTGTTTGCGTGGATACTTGCGACCCATAACTTACCTTCGTTTTAAAGTATTATCCGCCTCCGACCTCTTTTAACCCTTTAAGAGCCGCCCCATACTTGAATGCGTCGTAAACGACGCATTCAAATGTAAAACTTCAAAAGATCATAACAGTCCAATCTTGCTCAAATCCAGTGATCGAAATATCCAGGGCGAAGAGAAAACTCTCATCTGTCGGGAGAAACAATCCGCGGAGCGCTGCGAGCAACGGTTCCCGAGATAAATCACTCGAAGTTGAGCCGCGATCGCGGCAATTTCAAAAGCGCGCAGTGCGACTTTAGTATTGAGAATTTTGTGACTTTTCGTAATGCTGGTTTACTCGAATTTGCACGGGTTTGACTGTTGATATTTTCAAGAGTACACAGCGAAAAAATTGGAACTCCACGATCGCGTAAAATGAAATATCTGGAGCGGGACGCAATTGGACGCATTTGGGGCATTTTTCGTACTGTCGCTGCGATCTAGCGCTGGATAGACGGTGTGCTGGCTATCATGATCGACCTCATTCTCTTCCTCTCGCGGAGACCTTTCCAGGAAGCCCTAGATTGTGAGGATTGAGTGAGTAGAACTGAAGCTATGATCCAAGGAACACAAACAAATGCAGAATTTTGAAATTTTCCTGTGGCTCTTAAAGGGTTAAAAAATAAAAAGTAATAATAATAATAATAATAATCGAGTCCTGGTGGTAACAGTCAATTTTTTCTTCAGACTTTTCCCGTTTGTCTCTTTCCCTCAAACCAGTTAATATTTTATGACTTGGGGCTCCCCGCGTGCTAGTTTGTACGTGAAGTGTGTGGGTTACAGTGAGGGCTGCGTCCACCCGCCTGTGTGGATTCATAGGAAGTGTGAGTTACGAAGTCTGAAGAAAATGTTGAACGGCCTCTGCTGGGATGACGACTACACCATAGCTCAGTGGTTAGAGCATCGCTGGCTACAAGCGAAGGTTTGAGTCCTGGTGGTGACAGTTAATTTTCTTCAGACTTTTCCCGTTTGTCTCTTTCCCTCAAACCAGTTAAAATAATAATAATAATAATTTGAAAGTAGGACGGAGGCAGAAAATATTACAAAAAAATGTATTATCTACGCATGCATCTACGCAAGAGTCACCACCAGCCAATTAGGACATGTGTTTTCGTTCCCTTCTTGTCAAAATACTACAGGGAATGATGGAAATAAGCTAAAAGACTACAACTATAAGAAAAAGAAGTTCAGAAATATATCACTCCAATTATGTGTAGAAGTGACACGAAAAAATAGATGTGAAGAATAAAGAAAACAGCATGCAAATCCAATAAGTGACAAAAACGTAGTGACAAGAAAAAGAGAGAAATATCAAGAGATCTATATATCTATAATTGAGTATTTCGCTCCTGCTCTTGTAGCAGTTGAGCACTCTTGCGTGGGGTAGTGCCTTTGCTGTTTGCGTTATGCAGAGCTCACTGACTTGTCAGTTTGAGCACTCTGGCAAGGTACGTTCGGGCCTGATTGGAAATTTTATTTCCATTGCTATCAGGTTCGGCCTCATTTTCTCTGTGCTGCGCTGATGAGTTCAAAAAGAACGAAACAGCATGCTGTCCGCAGATTGAGTATTTCGCTCCTGCTCTTGTAGCAGTTGAGCACTCTTGCGTGGGGTAGTGCCTTTGCTGTTTGCGTTATGCAGAGCTCACTGACTTGTCAGTTTGAGCACTCTGGCAAGGTACGTTCGGGCCTGATTGGAAATTTTTATTTCCATTGCTATCAGGTTCGGCCTCATTTTCTCTGTGCTGCGCTGATGAGTTCAAAAAGAACGAAACAGCATGCTGTCCGCAGATTGAGTATATATCTATAATATATCTATATCAAGAGATTCGCAAGCGGCAATATCGGAGGTGACAACGGCCAAGTCGTCGGGTCAGGGAAACGGTACCTCGGCAATCAAGTGTCACCTGTCGGGCAGTGCTAGTTGTCGTGAGTGGTATTCCGATGATGTATTCTCTGTTTTGTCGCGTGGTAGGTCTTTGTTACATCTTGCCGCGTTGGAAGCTTTGTACATACGTAAGTTAGACCCTGAGCTTTGTGTTCAGAAGGAGAATGTGTTGTCTTTGCAGTTGTTTGGCACTGTTCGTCGTGAAGGTGCGAAATAGATCTCTTGATATTTCTCTCTTTTTCTTGTCATTTTTGACCCACCCAAGTTGGGTGGTGTGGTGCTTTGCTGCTTCGAATTGTAGTTAGACCGCTTTGTCAAATCGCCTACTGGTCTCGTCATCGTCCAGTGACAATCGACATTCTTTGTTCAGTTGGGACTGTAGCTTGTGCTCGTTTTCGTTGCGCTTGCCTTCCCCTCTTTGGTCTTTCCATAACCTTGAACCTTACAAGTTGGAAGGCTGTCGGTTAGCGCTACGCAAATGTGTTGAAGCTAGGTGTCAGGACGTCGAAAATCTCTCAGTACTCTGTCAGTTGTGTGCCTAATTGTTGCACTTTCTGACTGTATATAGTATCTAGTTACAGTGGTGGAGAGTTACTCTTAACTCGTTTCCATATGTCCTTTTCCTTTCTACTTTTATTATTGGCTCAAAAACCGAGTTTCAAATTGCACACCTGATGAGCCGTCACGAACCATATGGCGAAACGTACGTCGTGTGAAACAACTTGTTTTGTAGTCAACTAGTCCATCACAATGTCATGCATGAGGAGTACTGTAGGAGTTTAGATTTCGGCTTGTAGAATTCGTTCTCGCAAAGCTTCCCCCTTCTTAACTTATCTTTGATATTTTTGACCCACCCAAGTTGGGTGGTGTGCTGCTTTGCTGCTTCAAATTGTAGTTAGACCGCTTTGTCAAATCGCCTACTGGTCTCGTCATCGTCCAGTGACAATCGACATTCTTTGTTCAGTTGGGACTGTTGCTTGTGCTCGTTTTCGTTGCGCTTGCCTTCCCCTCTTTGGTCTTTCCATAACCTTGAACCTTACAAGTTAGAAGGCTGTCGGTTAGCGCTACGGAAATGTGTTGAAGCTAGGTGTCAGGACGTCGAATGTCTCAGTACTCTGTCAGTTTTGTGCCTAGTTGTTGCACTTTCTGACTGTATATAGTATCTAGTTACAGTGGTGGAGAGTTACTTTTTCTAAAACTCGTTTCCATATGTTCTTTTCCTTTCTACTTTTATTATTGGCTCAATACCCGAGTTTCAAATAATAATAATAATAACGAGAGTTAATTGGAACATTGAAATTGGTGGCACAAGTTATGCGATCGAGTCCAGCAGCTAAACCAGATATTGTACAGTCACACGTGCACAATCTAGCACAAAACTGACAAGGAGTACTGAGACATTCCACAGCATGAACGTCAGCTTGAGCACTGCTCGATGGCGCTAACCAATGGCCTTCCAACTTGGAAGGTTCATGGATATTAGTGCTAAGTACAAAGAGTGTTGTGCTAGATTGTGCACGTCTGACTGTTCAAAATCTGGTTTAGTTCGTGGACTCGATCGCATAACTTGTGCCCACAATTTCAATGTTACAATTAATATTTTTTCTTGGCTCGCCATCTGAGTTCTTAATAGAAATGATAGCAGCACTAAACAACAAAACACCTCCAGTACAAACTACAAATTGGGCATGGAGCGATGCATGCATTGCCTCCCAGAGTGCAGCCCTGGCTACCTGCAATCTGCAATACTACTCGAACCCCGCTGACCGGTTCAGCCAGTGACCTCATTATGGAACTTCTGGAACAGTCTATGTTTCAAATCTTTATAGCACCTTCCGCTCGGCAAACCCGAACGAAAGCACCACTCCCTGCTCAATACACAGTGTTTTTGGGGAATCATCATGAAAAGTGCCATCAGATTGTGCCTGACGACAGTTTGGAGGAAGAGCGGTGAAAAACAAAAACAGTCCACAAAATGATTTTTTAGGCCTGTCCTTTTTTTAAGGAGGGGGGGGGTGTGGTGCTGACTCGAAAGCAGCCTATTTTGGGTTTGGCCTTAGGTTCAAGTACATTGACTATGCTAATATCATTAAAACTGTGAACAGTACCATTCGGCTGTTTCCTTTTTAAGAAGTACATAAAACTGTCCTCTTCCATGCTCTATAAAGCCGACCATCGCTAGTATTGTCTATGCTGTTCAAGAAATAGATTATTCGTCGGAGGAAAGCAAATAAGCACACGAAGCGCAGAAGCCTTATAGTGATTAACAACTTCGCAAGCAAGTCCTTATAACCTGCATTTCAACGGTCCGAGCATAGACAAAATAGCACTTTTTAAAGATAGCGCTTGTGGCACTTGTGGCGCTGTTGGTGCTTGGTAATCGCCATTGTGTTTGGCTTGAAAAGTAATGATACGAATGGCCTAGTCGAAACTGTATGGCTTCTACGCTTTGTGTGCTGATGTTCAAGAAATGGATCAATTCTAGCCTTACTATTGATGTATGCATTCACTCCGGGGTCGGCGTCGGAAAATTTTGTCTCATAGTTGAGTGGATACTTTGCTCTGCATAACCTGGGATCCCTGACAATCCTGTTATTTGCAATGTATCTGTACATTAAAAAAAACAGTTGACAGAGTTGTTGCGGAGCGCAAAGGCCTGACAATGTAAAACAATTACCACAACAGAAAGGTTCGATTCATCTTTGCAATTATATCCACAGGATCATTATCCTGCCACTAGGAACAAGCCCACGCTCTTTGAGCAAAAACATGAAATCTAAAGCCGGCGTGTCCACAAAACGAAACATGCCCTTGTCATGTCCAAATCGTGAATTCGCGACAGGATTGAGAAAACGAAGAATTTTAAAAGCTAATTAATGGGCAATTTTTGGCTCGCCATCCAAGTTTTAATAGGCGAAATCAAGTAGCGTGCTCTACTGTCCGAAGAGTTCTCAATACCCATACAGGTCCTCCCTCATTGTAACGAGTCCGAAAATTCACCAGCTTGACACCCATTATTGCAATGCTAGGGGTGTTCAAAATGAGAAAATCAATATATTAGGGTATGTAATTGGACACTTTAGAGGACCCCGACTGATTCTTTGATGGAGAGGGCTTGAAAGCCCAGGAGCCCTCGTTTTGCTTTGTTTTACCTAGGTCGTCATGTGTGTTGTTCGAACTGAAAGAACGTTTTTTTTACAATAGAAAAACAAGTGCCCGATAATCGTATTGCAAAAGACATTTCTATCAGTTTGAGCAACACTGATGACAATCCAGGTATAAACAAAGCGTAGCCAGGGCTATGCCATCAGTATGTGTGGCATGTGTTGTGAGCTGCCCTTTGGATGGAACACTTGTCAGCGTATTGTAGGTTCGGCTAGGTCCCATAGGTCAGATGGTTAGAGAATACTCATGACAAGCAAGGTTCCGGGTTCGCATCCTTGTGGGTGTGGCATTATTATTTTCTCTTTTCAGGCAGTTGACTTCCCCGACTGATCCTCGAGGACGCTTGAAGATCGATGCATTGCTCTTCCCAGAAGGTTTTGAACTGTCCTTGTTCATCACATCCAATTTTCGTCATCTGTTACGCTGGTTCTCTTGATTGAGATTCTGAAACTATTGAAACTGCTCTGCCTGTTTAGAATGTAGAGCTTAGTATTTTAGGAGACAAGGATTAGAATTAGAGTTATTTCCTAGAAAACTTACACCCTCTTACTGACAGGGGAGTTGGCCTTTATCAATGCTGGCTTGGGAGCTTGCACATCATTGTGAACCTGATGAAGACAATTTGCCGAAACGTTGAAATGAGAAATGAGTTGAACTATTCCAGTGGAAGAGAGCGTGTGGGTTCTACTCTTAACTGAAATATGAAACTGCAGGAAGCCTGCCCACTTTTAGTTAACTTACAAAGTTTCAGGTACGGTCCCAAAAAGAGCCTCTGGTAAGGTAGCAAGTGTGTTGTTTGCCAAATTCCTGGAAGAATTGAAGACAGCAAAGTACGTTTCATATTGATCACTCAGGGAGAGCTGTGGTAAAGGTAAAGTAAATAACCGTGTCCGTTCCCAAACGGTGGTAGCTTGTGATAATTTGCACCAGTTCCAATTGCGCAAATTTCACACCCGCCAGATATAGCTCACGTCAAAGAAAAAGAGATAAAGCGGCCACTTTGCAAACAGCTTTTTCAAGATGCAGGCACAATGTTACAAAATTGGGATTATTTATATAAAGAAGGAGAAGGAAAAATGGTACGAATCGATGGTAGCCATCTTAACCTGCCTAAAGTCAGTAAGCAGTATCTTTCTTCAGCAACCTTTGGAAATAGGGAGGGAACCACAACAGAATATGACCAGGTGGAAGTTTGGGTTCAGTGTCATGATGGACCTATGCACCTCCTCAAAGCTTGTGTGTTGCCAGAATTAATTGCACCAATCAAGAGCGTAGAATTGGCAAAGCGGTACCCAGTCCTGCAATTCTTGATCCTTGCCGAACAGTTGGCCTCTTCATCTGGCTCATTGCCCATAGACATACTAGTGGGTTGCGATCATTACTATCACATTGTGGGTCCAGACTGCTTGGAACTTCCAGGGGGACTTGTCCTCCTGCAGTTTTCCCTCGACTTTATTATGCACTGTCACGGTATCCGCATCAGGTACGTCAGAGGGTCCGTCATGTCTCGCAATACAAAGTTGCAGCGATGAAGATCCCTCTACGGACTTCCAGAAATGGGCAGCAGAAGAGTTCAACATCCCAGACCACGTTGCCAACGCAACCAAACCTCACCCACATTCAAACCATTGCCAAGCAGAAGCACTAAGAAAACTTTACCCTGGAACCCCCCCCCCCCCCCCCTGGATCCGCCACTGCAAGCTCCTCGACTCTCTATGTCCACGCAGCCTCTACCTGATCGACTATCAAGCGGCACAATCAAGAACGCCACCGTCCTCCGGATTCAAAGTCTCAGCAACCACACAATAAAAAAAACGTTGCTCATCAAAAACCAAAAAGAAGAGGTGTTGAAACACCTGCTTTCTATGTTTATTAATGGTTTCGTTTGTTCTACTCTTTAGTGCTTGTCTTTAGTCTGTGTGCCTGTGGTGTGTCCAGAATCATGTCGAAGCAGCCAGGAGAGGCCGCAACTCGCCCTCTCCCCCCCCCCCCCCCCAGCAGCAAGAAAACAGATCATGCAAGACTGCTGTGTATACACCATTGGCAGCAGCGAGACTACCCTGAGGTTGTCGACTGATTGGCATCACATAAGCCTCATCTGCTGATCGACAATCTCAACAACGTATCCACTGATAAAGACAGTATCAGAGAAAAACACATTACTGGACAATGACGAGACCAGTACGACCACCCAAGTTGGGTGGTGTGCTGCTTTGCTGCTTCGAATTGTAGTTAGACCGCTTTGTCAAATATCGTACTGGTCTCGTCATTGTCCAGTAACAATCGACATTCTTTGTTCCGTTGGGACTATAGCTTTTGCTCGTTTTCGTTGCGCTTGCCTTCCCCTCTTTGGTCTTTCCATATCCTTGAACCTTCCAAGTTGGAAGGCTGTCGGTTAGCGCTACGAAGATGTGTTGAAGGGTGTCAGGACGTCGAATGTCTCAGTACTCTGTCAGTTTTGTGCCTAGTTATTGCACTTTCTGACTGCATATAGTATCATGTTACAGTGATGGAGAGTTACTCTTAACTCGTAATTATGTCCTTTTCTCTTTTACATTTATTTATGGCTCAACATCCGAGTTTCAAAGACAGTATCATCCATCATTATGAAAATTGGACAAAGTTGGACGAGGTATCTTCTATTGCAGAACCACGATGTATTTGCTCTTCATTCTAATGACCATGGGTGCTGTGATCCTTGCGCCACATGAGATCGACACAGGTGATCATTCGCCTGTCAAACAACAAACGTACCTTGTTCCGTTCCGTCGTCGTGAGCAGCTCCAGAATATCTTCAATGACCTTCTGCAGAAAGTTGTCATTACTACCTCTGCGAGCCTGTGGGCTTCGTTTGTTGTCCTCCTGCCCAAGAAAGATGGCTCTTTGTGTCTCTGTGTTGACTATCGCCGGTTCAACAAGATCATCACAGCTGACGCATATCCGCTTCCTCGGGTCGACGATAGCCTAGATGCATTCTCTGGCTCTCAGTTATTCTCGACACTTGACCTTGCTAGTGTCTACTGGCAAAGCACAATCCGCCCTCAAGACCAAGCTAAGACAGCCTTCGTGACACCCCGTGGGTTGTACACGTTCACAGTTCTTCCTATGGGTTGCTGCAATGGGCCTGCCACATTTCAGCGTTTGATGCAAATGATCCTAAATAATCTCCTTACCAGTCATGATCCCGTCTGCCGTGTGTTTTTTGATGACATTGACCTTGAGTCAGCCACTGTTAGCCTAGGCTCGGATGGCCTCCGGTCCGCTTTCACGTGTCTTCGTCGGTACAACCTCAAGCTTCGGCTTGAAAAATGCGCTTTCCTGCAGCCCCACACTAAGTTCCTTGGCATGGACATCAGTGTCGATGGTATTCACACCTCAGCTTCGAAGGTTCATGATATAGTTCACTCGGCATGTGCCGACATCTGTTCGTGAAGTGCGTGGTTTTCTCGGCCTTGATGTTATTACTGGAAATTTGTTCCACACTTCACGCAAGCTGCCACCCCACTTGCTTCACTCACTAAGAAAAATGCGAAGTTTTCCTGGGTTCCTGCTTGACAGGCTGCTTTCTGTGTACTGAAAAACGCCTGTCATCTGCGCCTGTGCTTGCCCAGCCTGACTACTCGTCTGTTGCCGCTCCCTTCATCCTTGATGTTGATGCCAGTGATTTTGGTGTGCGCGGTGTGCTCTCTCAGGTACAAGATGGCCATGAGTGTGTGATTTCCTACGGTAGTGCTATTCTCAACACCGCCCAAAGTAACTACTCCACTACAGAGAAGGAACTCCTTGCATTTGTTCAGTTTGCTGATGTGTTCCGCTACTACCTAGTTGTGCGCACTGATCATGCTGCTCTCAAATGGCTCCATCCGCTCAAGGAACCACGCGGTCCTCGTGCCCTTTGGTTAGAACAACTTGCTGAACTCGGGTTCACTGTTATTCATCGCCCTGGCCGTCAACATTGCAATGCTGATGCTCTGTCTCGCCATCCTCCCGAGTCTGTTGCCACCACTGGCCGCCAGTCACCGCCTGACTAGTCGTCACCAACCGCACCAGCAGCTCCTGCTCCTGCTTGTGATCCTGTACCCACAGTACCGAAACCTGCACCAGAGTCCTGGCTGCCACGCTTTACTGCTGCTGTGCTGCTTGCTGCGCAAAAAGAGGATTCTGATTTGTCGATTGTGTTAGGCTGGCATGACTCTAGTCACAGGGGCGTCACCCGTGGGGGGCACGGGGGCGCGTGCACCCCCTAAAAAATTCGTCCTTTTTTTGCAACTCCTGGTGATGAAAAGTGTAGTGCTGGTAGAATCTACTAATAAACTGCATGCACGCGGCGTGCTGGGTGTTTGTTTGAAACAGAAGAAATAAATAATTCAGTGTGGTCGCAAGTAAGTTAGTCAGGTCACCACACTTGAAGAGTCTTTGGAGCTGTTTCCTCTCAAAATGTCGTCTTCTCGAAAAAGGAAAGCGTCTGGCCAGCTCACTATCAGCAATTTTTTTCAGAGGAATGCGAACCCTGAAGTGAGGCAAGGCGACGAAGCCATTCCTGTTGCAGCTGGGCCAGGGGAATCGGACGATGAGGCACCTGACGAAGAAGCCGGCACGCAGTCCTGTTGAAGCGGAACCTGTTGTCCAGGTTGAAGAGGAACCGGTTGTCCAGGTCGACAACGACATTGCCGCTGCTGAGGATTTTGATTTGGAAAATTCCAAATGGTCTAGGGACCGGCGGATTCTGCTAGAAAAGGTGGCAGATTCTGCTCAAAAAGCAGTGAAATTGGCAGAACCATACAAACCTTATGGCGGGCAATTCCTCAAATTCTGCTCCATTTTTTATCCACATACCAAACCGGCATGAAAATTAACAGAAAAAGTGCCGAATTCTGCCAATTTTTCTGCCGGCAGAATCTGCCGGGCCCTAAACTGTCCCCGGGGAAAATTGCGGAAAAAATCGCAAAAAACGCGGGGAAAAAACGCGGCATAATATGGCATAATTTGCTGTGAATTCGCGGTAAATATGCGGTAAATATGCGGTGAATAATATTGATGTGCGGCAATTTTCAGTGAGTATGTAGTGAAATCAATCAGTTACAAGTCGCTGGTGTAAGCACTCGTCATATTGGAGTAAAAATCCGCCACGATTAGACAGTGCTGACCGAACAGTGCACTGTGTGTACGTGTAGTGCAACAAAAATGTTCAAAAAACGCGGGAAAATCGCGGAAAACGCGGTCTTTAAAAAAATCGCAAAAAAACGCGGAAAACAACGCGGCCGCGGGATCGCAAATTTCCCGGGGACAGCCTAAAATGGTCCACATTATTATTATTATATGATGCAGTGCTATTAATAGTAATATAATAATTATTATTCTTTCAAGTTTGTTATCATGCCATCATGGCCGGGTAAAATTCCTGTGCAAAATTTTCCTGTGCACCCCCTCCCCTGTGAAGGGGTCCAGTGACGCCCCAGTGTTTATTTCTCCCCCTGCACACACATCAACTGCCTCTAGCCGTGAGGTTCGCCGCTATACTTCTGAAATTCATTTGCTTTCCCTACGTGATGGTGTTTTGTATCGCACAGACCCATCTGCTGATTTTGTTTGGCAAATAGCTGTTCCGTTCGCTTTCCAAGCTGATATTCTATCTGCAGTGCACGCCGATGTTAGTGGTGGTCATCTCGGTGCGACAATGACCATTGACAAGGCCAAATGCCGTTTCTTCTGGCCAGGTATGTCAGCTGATTTGTGCGCATTTGTAGCTAGTTGCCAAGGGTGCATATCCGGTAAGAGCACCATGTCTGGCTGATCACCATTGCAGCCCATGCGGGCTGGCTTTCCTAACTAGATCGTTGCTATGGATCTCGTTGGACCACTTGTTGCAAAAGAAGGATCCACGAGCGGGATTTGAATCCAGCACCCCTGTCTCTCCGGGACAGTGCCCTACTGATTAGGCTACCGGGGATCACACACACTCATGGGTCCTTCTTGCTACACTGCTCCCTTCCCCAACAGGCTGTGTCCTCACGCCGTACCTACTCGCGGGAGGTACGATGGGTCGTGGGTTCGAGCCATTGCCAGGCGCCAATGTTGCAAAAGAAGGATCCACGAGCGGTTTCTACTTCTAGTCTTACCTTCACTTGAGTCTTTCAGTATACTATGACTCTGTATGAGTTCTGTGCTACCTAAGTTGTCTTTTCGTGCAATATTATTCCCTGAGACTACTAGTTGTGTTTTGAGTCGGAGAGATTGAACCTGGTTTGCCTTGTCACTCGGTCACGTATTACATTACTGCTCGCTGCTCATGTAATCATGCCTCACTACAACTACACCAAAGACTTATCAGAGGTTTTTTCAAGACTCAGTTTTTTGTCACCATAGATGTGAGAAAGTTCTATTTTTTGTTCAAACAAGTGCACCACAGTTGAGGTAAGTCTAAATGAACAGATTTGACGTAGTGGAAACCATTATTTGTTTGCAGAATACTCACACGGTGTTGAGATTTAGGTTACTTTGAAAAAGACCAGGAGGCAGCGTTGTAAGACTGTTATTCTGAAGATGCCTGGATGAAACAAATCAATAACATAATATACCAAATAATCGGCAGGGAGGAAACGAGAGAGTTTGAAAGTGCAGGGCCCTACACTATGCTTAGTTGCTTAGCTCATCCTGAGTGTTTTCAGATCTGATGGAAACATATTTGCAATACAATGATGTAGCCGATCAGTTTTACGGTAACTCTGGAGGTGGCGGGACCTCTCTTCTCCCATCTTTTACTCACTGTCTTGGCATTCCTCCCAACGCCGTCTACTCAGACCTTCAACACTGTCACTCTAGCTGCTATTTTTGCTCTTCGGTATAGTCCTCTGTTAGTGACCTCAACATTATATTTATACAACAAAGACGCCCATTAAACACTGAAATCTACTCGATCCTTACATTCCCGGCCCATTATGAGCACACCCAAAAACATTCGAACGATAATGCGACGGCCCTATGCTTACGGACCGTAGTCACCACACACCGAACAAGTTTGGGCATGGAAACTTATTTTCTCCTGCTGGCTGGATGCCTGTTCAGCGGTCTCTTGCTGTCAACGGATCTTTTTACGAAGTCGGCGAGTCACAAAACGACGGGATACTAGCTCCGTTGTTTCTTGTTGTCGGCTGTGCCGTTGGCAGGCACGTCGAGTCTCTAGGCGACATTTCCTACTCTTTGTGTAGGCATTCCTGCCGACCCCTTCTGCTCTTAGACATTCCTGGCCAATTAGCAGCACACCCAAAAACATTCGACGGAAAATGCGATAATACGACTCCGTCTGCCGACGCATGTGAGAATCCCGGCACCACCTGTAGCCAATTTGGAGATGACACCGCTCTGATTTTTATAGCGAGAACTCTTGAAGACTGCAACCGAAACCTACAACAGAGTGTCACAGCAGCTGGAGACTGGCGTCAAAGATGGCACCTGCTAGTTAACACGAAAAAAACAGTCATCCTCCAGTTCTACCAAAATAGCCGTCCCCTGAACAGCTACCCCAGGTCACCCTCAGGAATAGTCCGCTGACCGTAGCACAAAAACACACGCACCTTTCAGCATGACCTCCATTGGACGGAGCACGTTGAATACGTAGTCAAAAATCACTCAAGTCTTTCAATATTCTTTTAAGACTAAGGTCTACACTCACCAGTGATTCTATATCTCACAACTATCAGACATACATACTGTTAGGAACCTCCGCCCGTACAGTATACCCGTTTCGACTAGCTGGCCTGCATGCACCCGTACTACGTCATTCTCACCTTTCTTTCCGTTGGCCTGGGTAGCTACTTGCACACTCATGTTTGCCATAAGTACCCAGGCCCTATATACAGTCAAGGGAATCCCTTGTTCAGGGAATATTCGGTTTAAGTTATACGAAAACTCAGGCGTTGATATGGAGATTGACAAGTACGCACGGTCAAATCGCGCCGTGCGCCCGCCGTGCGCCCGCGGCCCGAAAAAGAGGAAGATGGATGCGCTGCGAAGGCCTCTGTTCTCATTGAAAGAGATGTGGCACAATTTCGATTTGCCCTGAAATATCAGTCCCTCTTTGGGTAACTTTGCGGAGGTAACCCCAAAAGTGCGGAGGTTGTACAGTGTTTTAGCTTGGCCTGTACGGGTTTATGGAGGTTTTGCCCGAAAAATTGAACTCTGCCATGTCGTTCTCGAGAGAGAAGCGACGAGAAGAAGCCCGTTTTGCATTTTCAACATTTTGTCATCATGGGCAAGATATCCACGAAGAAGAGACACTCTGGAGGTTCTCAATACCAGTTTGCGTGCAAGAATCCCTTCCACGATGAGTGGGAATCGCCTCGGCATAGCTCCAAGGATGTTCGGGTTCGCAAGTGTATCCTGGCAGTGTTGTCAGCGCCCTCTGGACGAAAAGTATCTGCAATTTGTAGGAGCTGCGGACGACTGGCTGACTTGAAGGATTTAATCACCAACCACCCTCTGTACTAGCCTCGGAGGGGCGATAGCTATGGGGACTCTGTAGACATGGTAGATGCCAGCGATGATGTTCCTCAGGCTCTCCCAGAGGTAAGCTCCTGCGATGATGTAGCTGATTCTTTTCCGCCTGTCTTCAGCCAGTCCCGAGAAACCTCCTCAGCCTCAAACGAAGTACCGGTAGATAATGTTGAACATGTTGATAGTGTTGAAAATGTTGAAAACGTTGATTCTTTGAAGCGTTTAGAGAGAGTGTTGGTGGCCAAAAACTGTGCGTTGGCTGCATTGTCGAAGATGCATTTGCAGAAGGATAGCAAAATTGAATTACTTGAGAAGGAAATAATTATTATGAAAAAGGAAAGTGTAGGTTCGCTTCTGAGCACCTCGGAAGGGCGCTTGGACTTGCTACATAGGCTGTGTGTGGCTGAGCAGCCGCAGTTCAAAGCAGATGTGTTGAGTGCTGTTGAGTCAGCAAAGTCAAGTAGATCATTGCAGAACTTGCTGTCCATCCCGACGGGTCAGTTCAGCAACAAACCCTACAACAAGTTTGTTGAGCAGTTTGTGACGGGCATGACCTCCAGCACGTTTGCACTTGACCTCTCCGTTGCCGACCGCCGCACAGTTCTTCAAGCGCAAGCCATGGAGTCTCTCTATGCTGCTGCTAATTTGAATTACTGTGCAGAATTCCATGTTTTGCTCCAGGCGATAGTGTACAGCATCACCCAAAGCAAGACAACCCTCGACATTTTTGGTCACCTAGGGTCGGGGGGAGTTATAAGCTCGTGAAAGATTGGTTGGCTGGGTTGGGTGGTAACGAGCTGCAAGTTCCTGAAGGGTTCGTGAGTGCTGGGTTTGACAATGAGCATCGACAACTTAAGTCGTACCTCTCCCGTGGCAGCAATCGTTCCACGTATGAGGTACTGACCAATGTTGTCTATGCCCGTCATTCCCATGTTCCTCCCAAAGAAAAAGGAGATTTCCATTTCCGAAATAGGAAATTTCCAACTGTCACTGAGATTCAGTGTGCAATAGATCAGGTACCGGATCCTCTTGATCAAGAATCTTTGATTAAGCCTCACTTGCTGAGTTTCATGAACAAAAGGATTGAAGCTCTTGTGTCTGAGCAGAGGCTATCAGCTGACCCAGTTGATAGCCATCTTGCATCATTGGAACGAGAAAGACGGTACCTGATCTGCCCTAAATGTTGCACACAGATGGAGCGCAGGCTGCATTTGTGTCCCAATGCGACATGCAGGGTAAATGTTAGGCAGGCCTTACAAGCTGACCAAGGCAAATCAGTGGTGTCGACCGAGCACATCAAAGTCACCAAGCCAGGCACACTAAAGTCAGGCACCGAGTTTGTGTATGTACCGCATGTGGACAGCAGTACCGGTGTTTCGTTAACCAGAGTATCCTCAAAGACCAGTGGTGAAGATGTGCCCCTTGTGTCCCCGGCAGATGTTGGGTTTCTAGAGCCCATTTTTGTCAACCCCAACTCCCATGAAGCTGTTCGCATTGTATTGCGCGATGTTGGGAAGCGTGCAAGGGTAAAACAATGTCTAGGTGACGAGGGGGTGAGGAAATGGCTCACTGTTGTGTGTGACGGCTTGGCATACTCCATCATATTGACTGTGATGGAGGAGGCAAGGCGCGATGCAGCCAAATTGGCTAACCATGAAGCAGGAGTATTGCATGTCGACTCAATGTCGAAGGCTGACCTGAAGAGTGCATGCAGTACAAGGGGCTTGGGTGTAACAGGGAACATGAGTACGTGAGAGGCTGAGGAAGTTTTTAGATGATCTGGTTGAAAAGGGTGAATTGATGCCCCCAACAAACATTCCTGATGGGGAGTTTGATTGGGTACTACTCATTTCAGGTGGCTTGCACTGGGAGATGAACATCATCCAGTGCATTGTCAAGTCTCTGTGGCCATTTGCCTATAAGGAGTTCGATATTAGCCAGGGATATACTTCTCCTATGCAATTGGATTGGGCCTTCAAAGAAAGAAAATGGAAAAAAATTCAAGCATAACGACATAACAGCAGACCAATCGAAACCAGTAAAAGCTTCCTTACCTCAGTCATCGTCCTGCCATGTAGTTGGACAGCCTTTTGACACGGTGGTACAGGCAGCTCTTGTCCAGTCAAACAGGGGTATCCTTGTGGCGACGAACGAAAGAGAGTGTCAGTGTATCTGACTCGTCAGATTGGAACTGTGCTGAACTTTTCTCTTTATCCGCTTTCTGCTTTCATCCCTCGCTCTGATGAAACCGTTCAAACGTCTTACTGGCAGCAATGGCCAGGCATACAAGGGGATCCTTGTGGCGTCGAACGAAAGAGAGTGTACCTGACTGGTCAGATTTGAACTGTGCTGAACTTTTCTCGTTCTGCAATTTCTGCTTTCATCCCGCGCACTGATGAAATGTCTTCACAGAATCACAAAAAGCTTTCCAGATTTGATTTTGAACGTCTCCTTATCCTCCTTGGTTACCTCTAGACAGATTACTGTCAGCAACTGCACAGCAGAACTGGCAGCCATGGCTGAAGTGAAGAAAGGAATGCGCTGCCACGAGGCAAGCAAAACTGAAAATGTGTTTGTTCTCTTTCGGGCACAACACACAGGACGGTGTGACTGGATAAACAGGACTCTTGGACCGTGAATAGGGGACTCGTAGAAAAAGTGTACTCCTTATAGGGGATTGCGCGGCAGAATGAAGCTGATAAAAACTGAGTGGACTCCTGGACTCTGTATAGTGGATTATGGAAAAAATGGACTCTATATAGGGTGCTGGACATCATATAGTGCATGGACTCTATACTGAGTCCTACATATGTTTTGTAAATGAGAGAGAGTGATTTAGCGCGCAGAGTTGATTTGAGCCTAAAGAGAATATTAAAAGATTTTACGGCTTTCTTCAGCACAAAGTCAAGGTGGGCTGACCATCTTAGGTCGTGCTGAAAGATGATGACGAGGTGGGGTTGTTACAGGACATTTGTGAGATGTGCATTGTTGAGCTCTATGCATGGGAGATGGTGAGGGGGTGATTTCCAGTGTAGAAGGTGAGAACTACCGTTT